GATCGAAATACGCTCTGGTGCATCGGTTAAAATCAAATCTAAGGTATTGCCTTCTGACAGTGTCCCTGAATTAAAGGTTGGTTTTGTGACGTTTTGAGTCAAAAAGTTATCATTTAAATTGTCTAAAAAAATTTGTGCTTGTCTATCATTTTTTAACACTGTTTGGATATTCTCATCATTCTCATTCCATTTTATATTTGGGTAATTTAGGTCTCCCGCTAAGAGTAGACCTGAATATTTGTTGCAATCAACACTTTTTTTAGCTATATTTATTATTTTATTTATTTTTTGATTTGTCAATTCTGTAGCATCTGGTGGACGATATATGCTACCAATTAAGATATTCTCATTTTCTGTTTTAATGACACACCAGACTTGTTCAACTGTCATTTCTTCAGATTTCTTCATATATATATATATATATATATATATATATGAAAGTTTTATTTAATAAGATTCTAGCACTAGAAGCCCCAAAATCTTTTAGAACTTAGTTACTTTTCAATAAGAAATTTTTTTATTAAGAGTTCGAGGAATATTTTTTAACTTTTTATCTAAATGCCACTTAAATATAACAGAGTTAAAAATTGTTACATACAAAAGAGAACTACAGTTTAAATAAGTATTTAATTTGCATTCTCATTGGAATGGAATTTCATTCGATTGCGAACGAAATACGTATACTATAAATAAATTGAAACTAATGAAACTTTTAGTACCAAATTGGAAAAACAGGAACTAAAATTCTAAATAATAATAATAAACTTTCTTCGGGAAATAATAATCTTTCTAGAACTTCTAGCCCATTTTCTTGGTTGCTTATGAAATAAAATTTTAAACGTGTATATACACGTATTTTTTTATAATAATGTTATTGACATTTTTTTTACTTTATAACCTTTCATTTAAAAAGTCAAATAAGTTTAGAAAGAAAACTAGATAAATATTTAGATTACGTTTATGAAAATAAATATCATTTGAATTTTACAAAGTTAAAAGATCTTTTATATAATATTATAATAAAACTTAAAATTGTTACCAAATAATGACATCAAAGAAACATAAAACTAATACAAACCAAATAAAATATTTACTTCTCTTTCATTTTTATTTCACGTTGCTCAAGCTTGAATGCTCTTTTTTTCAGAGAGATAAAAATGATGCAAAGAAATAATGGGAGTTGTTAGTTTCATTTTTTTATTTTTGTTATCTATATGTGAAAATTTGTTGTATATTTAAAACATTCTGATTCTAAAAGATCCTGTAGAGAGTCATAAATTATAACTTATAACAAATATTTACATCTCCTGCGCCGTCGCATTATTTAATATGAAAGAATATGCCGGTCAATGTTTTCTTTTTTTTTTTTTTTTTTTTTTTGTTTTGTTTCTTTTTTTCTTTTTTTTTCCTTATCCTATGTAATAATTTGTTATTCTTTTTTTTTTTTTCCGTATTTTTTAAAAAAAAAAAGAAATTATTCAACTTTTTTAATTTTGATCAATTTTTTGTAGTTATTAATTTTGGTAGTTAGAGTTAATTTTGGAATTTATTGCATTTTTTGTAGAATAGTGAACAATTTAAAAAACATTTTTTTAGCAACATAATTTAGCCATCACATAAAATTAAATATAATAAAATTATATTTTTATATTTTTATAATTAGTTTTTGTTTTTCAATAGCACTAAAAATTTTTAAACTTTGAGTTGGTTTTTAATGAAAGAACTAATTTGGGTAAAAATAAAGATATGTATTTAGAAAAAAAAAAATCTTAAGTATAAGAATAACATTACTAACACAATATAAATATAATATAAACATAAAGTATATCCTAAATATACTATAAATATGCAATTTAGGTTTTCTTTTGATTTTTGAGAGATATTCTAAACATTGAACCAGTAATAATTATTTAATTATACCCGGTTTATATAATTATGACATTATTCTAATAATTTTTGTAAGACATACGTCTTTAACAAGAGAAAAAAAAGTTTTAGAAGGTATATAGTATAGTTTTAAAAGCGTTATAAGATTTAATAAAGGGTTGTCCATAAAGTACGAATGCTTGTATATTGACAACCCCCCCTATCCCCTTCGTTTTGCAATACGCTATTTTGAGTACTCTCCACCTCCCTAAAAGTACCTACGCTTTCAACTTATCTACCCACCATTTTATGATATTTAATCTAGTGTCTCTTTTCTTTTATAATGGGCCCACTGCCCTCCCATCTCATATATGCCATTTGCAGAACCCTCTTCCCCTCTGAGCGTATGTACTTTATGGGCGATGCCTAAAAATCAATGAATTGTCTTTTTTTAATGATACAATCATCAAAATCAAAACAATCTAATACCTCTACACTAAAGTTGCATTCCTTGACTTAAATTTAATTAAAAATGTAATTAACGATCCCCTAATAAATTTGGATAAAAAAAATTAAAATTTTGGCTTTCCTAAAATATTACTTGAATACATATGGCCTTAACATATCATTTGTTTAGGCATTAGCTTATCAGTTGGCAAATAAATTCTTTCCACTATTTTAATGCCAAACATGTAAATTAGCTTTAATCCAGGCTTTAATCTAGCTAATTTTAAATTACCTAGATTAAGGCTAAACTTTTCAACATTTAAAAAACGGCGTCAGCATCTAAATTAGCTTCAAGCTTTTAATCAATATATCAAGTAATTTCGATGAAAAAATATCTTTTAAGAAAACAAAACAAAAAAATTAGGACCGTTCAAAGTTATTTTTTTCTGAGGAAACTATAGCTATTTTACTGTTATCAAAGCTAGTCAATTCAGATATAAATACTAATGCGGATCAAATTGTATTTATACAGTTTATGACAATTATATGTAAATCTACAATCTATATATAAAAAGGTTAAAAGTATAAATTAGTATTTAGAACGCCGTATTTAGAAGCCGTTTTTGTCTCTGCTAAATGACTGTAATAAGTGTATTGTCATTAAAAACTAAAACTGTTTTCTATATGATACTATAAGATTAAAAATAGATTATTTAGGTGTCATAAGTTGTTTAAGTTATTTTATACCAATTTTATTGAATAAACCTCAACTGCTGACATAGGGGAGACCGGGGCTAGTTGGCCGCAGGGGTAAGTTGACGAATTGCGTTTATCTTTAAAGCCTTTCATCAGAAAGTGATAAAAATTACACAGAATCTTCCTAATTGACTGTTTCATCATTCAATGTAGTATTGTCAGGATTCGCGCATGCGCATGGGAGATATTAAGATTTAAGTGTTTTTTGGACAAAAACGTAACTTTTGAAACATCGCTTCCTTTTTACTTTACAAAGAAAATAGTTAGTCAAATGGAAAAAAAATTATTGTAAAAGTTCTAGCCACAATTGGTTTACTATATTCAGTTTGACTTTTTTTAAAAGTTGCCGTTTTTCAGGATCTATAGACTGTTTATTGAAAAAAAAGCCTTCGGGGTAAGTTGACAAAATTTTTACGGGGTAAGTTGGCTCATAGCATTTACTATGGAGAAAAATATTTATTTTTATAAAAATAATTTTTTTAATTTTTTTAATTTTTTACAATATTGAAAAAACTTATTCTTACAAAAAAATTATAAATTTTTTTTTTTTAGGTTTTTTGTAACAGGTAAAAAGAGGGCTGCTGTTTTGGCTGTTATACGTACTAATATTTAGCACAAGCTAAAAATAATATCAAATTATTAGCTTAAATTGTTGCCAAAATTAATAGGTAAAAAATTTCTATTAATTTTGCACTTAATAGTACATTAATAATCACGTTTATAGTTTGCGTCAACTTACCCCGTGGTGGGGTAAGTTGGCGCAATTTTTTTTTTTTTTTTGAGGGCCCCGTAAGGCCCCAAGAATTTTTTTTTGTAAATCCATGAAACTTTTATAAGTTACCCAAGTTCATACGCTTTGAGACTACACTTTAATATTTTCAAAAAAGTGTGCTATTAGGGCTACAGAGCTCATAGAGTAAAAACCGAGCCAACTAGCCCCGGTCTCCCCTACTTCAAATTATATTATGCAATAAATAACCATTTACAACATTTTATATTATTCGTGTGTGTATCTGTCTGTGTGTTTGTGTGCGTGTGTGTGTGTGTTTGTATAACACTGACCGCTAAAAAAAATGAAATCTTGTTTGTTTGTTGTTTTAACAACTTTTCATTTGTATGCCAAAGCACTTTCTTTTCTTTGCTTAGATTTCATAATGGCATTTTATCTTATGGTTGTTACGTATGCAATTGTTACTTTTTTTTTTTTTTTTTTTGATTTTGCTGTTGATTATCTCTTAAATAGACTTGCAATTTTGTAAAAAAAAATATCGATAAGCTATAAGGAAAAAAAGTTATTGAAGTGATCGTGCTCAATATAAAATCGTCGAAAGTAAACCACGCAAATCAAAAGCTTTACTTAATATTAATAATAGTGTTTCTACAAGGTCTTATACTCAAAGATTTTTTTTTCTTATACACAGCAAAGTCAAGAGGGTCTAGTTTATTATTAGGTTGCAGAAAATACGGCGTTCTAATTGAAGTAAGTTCGTTAAAAAGATGAGTTAGATCAACGAGTGTGTTGCGACGCTTCTGCACCAATGATCTCTATAAAGCATCCAACCTAAAGGCAATAATGTTTGCAGACAACGCAAACTCATTTTTTCTCGAAACAATATTGCTATGTTGTTTGAAAGTTTGTACCGAGAACTTAAAAAAAGTTGTTCGAATAAAATAATCTTTCAAATTATAGAATTAAAATAGTAATTTAATTCGAATTAAAATAGTTTATACATCAAATTTATATTAATTTATAAAAGTAAGCGTTGTTTGATGAAACTTAGGTATATGATCATATTAGAGATGTTACGGAGTTTCAACTTGGCCAATTAAAGGTTGGAAGTAGTGACTTACACCTCTGGCTCCGACTACGCTTTAATAATTTCAAACTGGAAGTCATTAGCGCAAATCTAAAATTAGAATGCAGCGCATTCAACCAAACTTGAGTAACGAAATTCGAGACAACGTCGTCTCGAGTCTTCGTCTAGAGTAAATTAAAGATTAATATATTCATTAAAAGTTGTAGACAACTTCGTCTCAAATATCCATACTCAAGTTTAGTATCAAGATTGGTTTCAAAAAAGTAAATTTAATAAAAATTAATATATTCATTAAAAGTTGTAGGAACTTAAAAGATAAAAATTTGAATTGTGAATATAGGATTTCTTAGTTATTTTTTATTATTACATGTGACTTGTCCAAACAATTTTGTTCTGTTCACAAACTCCACCTCCGATTTTGACTTCGACCCTTGTAAACTGAATTTAAAACCTCCAGCTCCAACTCCGGTACCGATAAAACCATCTCTGTAAAACTTCAACTAGAAAGCCTAAAAATTTTATAAAGAAAACATCGTAAAATTGCAGCCTGATTTTGAACAAGCAAACGAGCGGTTATTTACCTGGCTTGTTGATCACCTATATAAAAATCCGTTACATATTTATGCTACGGAGCAGAAAAAGAAAGACGCGTAAAGTGTGTAAACAAAATAAATTTTAAGATAGAAAAACTATTAAAAAAATAACTAATAAATTTTTATTTGGTTTTAATTTAAAGACATAGATATATATGAAGATAAAACAATAAATTAATTTACAGCATTTCAATAACCATTTGATCCTATTTTTTTCTTCATTAAGATTTAAAAATTTGATATAATGACTTAAGTTTTTAAATGATGTGAGACTAATGATTAATTTGTGACTGAAAAAAGAACTTAACTTATCAATTGTAAAACTTTTAGTTGAAACGTTAATTAAGCGTTAAAGCTTCGCAAATTCACGTGGGTATAAGTAAAATAACATAAATATAACCGTTAGAAATCTAAGATGTCACCACGTATCTCACAACAACATGATTTTTTGAATTCTGAAAAAACTTATCACAAACAAAAAATAAGTTGAAGTTTGAACTACGGAAAACTCCGTAGTTGGCATGACACGTGAGGCAAAGTTCATCAAACGTTTTGTAAACTTTGCCTTATCCCTTTATGCCACAAAATTTTTTTTTTCTTTTTAGCTGAACTATCTAACTAGCTAAAAGGTGGTATATATGTTAATTATTTTTTTAAAGTAACTCATTAAAATTGTTTAAGTGATAAAAAAAAACAAAAAAAAAAACAACAGGATTTTTAGTTATTTAAAGTTAACGATTTTTTTCAGCCGCATTAAAAATCGTTAACTTTAAATACAGTGGTTAAAATTTCATTGAAGGAAAGTGAAAAACTTTCATATTAAATGCTTTTCCGTGGTGCTTTAAGTTAAGGCAATTAAATCATTTTAAATACCTACAGTGGTGGCCAAAAGTCCTGGAACATCATATTTTATGTTATGAAATCAATATATTTGTGTGAAAAACAATTTATTAGTAAATTTTTTTATTTTTTTCAATAAAATAAGTGTTTATAACAATTTTAAAGATGATAGGTACATGCACATACATGATAAAAGTTAAATATTTAATGGAAGCATAGTTATTCTCAATTACCATTTGGATACGTTTTGGCATGCTGTTAACAAGTTTTGTACAATAGTCTGGTGTAATTTAATGGATCCACACTGATTTGATTGCTTCAACTAAATCATTATAGGATCTAGGCTTTTTGACGGCAACTTTTACATTCATAATATTGCCAACAATTTTCAATAACATTAAGATCTGGTGATGACCCAGGCCAATTTTCAAGGGTTTGAATTCCTTCATCATCAAACCACTTCTTTACAATTTTGGCTGTGTGGCATGGTGCACCATCCTGTTGGAAATAAGTGCAGTTCAAGATCTGCATGAACTTTGCTGTTTATTGTGGTATTCTTGGGCATTATCCATAATGACCCACGTTTTTTGGCAGAAATAGCACCCCAAACCATACAAGATACAGGAGCCTTGACACTGCTAACTGTATATTTTGGCATATATCAACAGTTTTTTGGTCTTCTTACAAAGTTGTTTGTAACATTAAATTGTTTAATACATGTTTCATCAGAAAAAAGAACTTTAGACCAATTTTCTCCAGTCCAATTTTTGTTGCGCTGACAAAATGTTTTTCGATCTTTTAGGTTTTTTAATGATAAAAAAAAATTTTTTTGCTGGCTTGCATGCCTTCATTTTGAAATCAACCGAAAGCCTTCTTCTAACTGTTCGGTCACTTACTTTTTTCTCAATAAAAACTTCTTTTGAAATCTCTTGTGCAGATAGCCGTGGATTTGCATGGCTGATCCGGCCAATAAGTTTGTCAGTTCTTGAGGTGGTTGCTCTGGGCCAGCCTGATCTCATCTTTGAAGAAAAATTTAATTGGGGCTCTTCTTTATGCCTTTTTAAAGTTCTACTTACAGTTGATAATGAACAACCGAGCTTTTCAGATATTTCTCTTTGAAATAAACCTTGTTCATATAATGCAGCAATAATTCCTCTTTTTTTAGGTGAAAGTTCTGGCATAATATAGCTGATAAATTGCTTATGAATAATAAAAAACGATAATAAATTGCGCAATATACAAATATGTAACTATAAACATTGCTATGTAAAAACAAAAGCATTAAACCTTCAAAATTTATACTTTAGATCAAAACTAAAATTTTTTGGTCGTTAAAAGTTTTGTTCCAAGACTTTTGGCCACCACTGTAAATAACCAAAAATGAAAAAAAAGTTAAATTTTACTCTGTTCATTGTTGATGTTATAAAAGTCAATGCGAACTTCAAGTCAAGTCAAGTCGAAGTAAAACAAAATTCTTTGCAATTTTGTTATAACACTTAAAGTTAAACTATTAAACTATAAAAAAAACTTTAAAATTACAAATGACAAAAGTATGAAATTAAACAACTGTTTAATTTCATTTAAATTTGGTAAACTTTTATTATACCAAAATTTTAGGAACCCGTTTTTATTAATTTTGGTAAATGATCACAAACTAGTTGATTGAAGGAAAACCGATCCTAATATTTTTGACATTTATGACACCAACGAAAAAAAAAATACATTTGGAAAGAAGGTTTATCAAACAGGATTCCGAGGTTAAATGTGGCAGCAGAATATCCCGGGATACGGCTATTATTTCCCGAGATATATCTTTAATCTTTAATGAGACGAAGTCATATAACAAGTAATTATTTTTTCAAAATTTAAGAAAAAGTAATTTCGCGTTGTCATAAATACGCTTAAAAAATAGAGCTTAATTTTCAACGACGAAAGCCGTTTGTTTTGTTTGGTTTTCTATAAATTCAAATAACTGAAAAATTAAACATTTTGCTGTATTGTATTTTTGAAAAGTCAAATATATTTTCCATTAAAACAACTGTGTATAAAGTTATGTTGTTTTTTTTAAACAGCTTTTTTAGCTAATAGCTAAAAAAAAATCCATAAATTGTAAATTTATGAATTTTACTAGCTATGTATTTTTTTTTTGTTGATGGCATTGTGTTGTATTTAATTTATTAATCATTTAGTTATTTAAAATTTTTTAAAAATAACTTTTTTTTGTTTGTTGACAATTCTAACTTTGATGAATTGTTTTACCTAAAACAATCCATCAAAGTTAGAATTATATTATTCGAATCGTTTATTCAGACCAATCAAGTGCGCTTTTTTAAAATTTTGGAAAACATAACAAAACTTCCGTATGTCTCAAGGGCTTCTGCAACAAACCAAAATTTCAGGACAAATACAACACATTGAAAAACTTGATAATTCGATGTTTTTGTCTACAACGGTGTGGCTAAAGTTGACCACTCGTAATCAATAATAATAGTATTTTTGAAAAAAATGTCAGTCGAGGGGTTCTAAAATAAACGATTTATTTAAAAGGTATACACAGAAAAGAAAAAGTATTTTTTGTGGCAAAAGGAGCTAGGAGTGCCTTGATAAACATTATTTCCATAGCTAATAAAAATAAAATGTTCAAATATTTTGTTTTATTTAGCTTTAATAAGTTCTCTAAGAAAATTTAAGCAATCTGGAGATACATGGTGTTGTAGATGACCTGGTAAGGTGATCTGTAGACCATGTGGCCAAGGTGGCCGCATTAAATAGATTTTCAATAAAAAAAATTCAAAATATTTTGAAGTTTTTTTTATATAAAGAATTAAAAAAGCTCTATGGTAGTATCACAGAGCACTGTCATGCTCTGCATTTTCACTGTCATGCATATTCTCATTTTCACCATCAATTACGTTTTATGGCGGTAACAAAAGAAAAATAAGCATATTTTGAAATTATTTTTTAATTAAAAAAAATTTTTTTTGAAATCTTTTTCATTAAAACTTAGTTTGATTTAAAAACAAAATTAATTTTAATTTCAAGCAAATTTTACCCTTTTAGATAATGATTTTTGAGTTCTAAGGCTATAGTAACCGCCTTAGCAACATAATTTTTTATTTTATATATATTCAGCTTATAAATATTAAATTATTGCCCTTAAAATTGTTTTAAACTTAGATCTTCTGAAAGAAAGTGGTGATTTTAATTATAAAATCTATCAGTTAAAAAAAACAGAACATATATTTAATTAAAAATACTTGAAATGGGTTCTGAAAAAAATTAGGGTAAATTACAATCAAGAAAAAGAGTTTGCTAACAAAACCTTAAAATCAATGCATCAATAATAATAAACAATGAATTAAGTACACATAAACTGGCATCTGGAAAAAAAAAACTTTATTTCATTTTCTAAAATTGATCATCTAACTGTCACCTTGCGACTTTTTTTATAGACTTTGATTTTTTCTTGACTCATGATTTTAGTTGGACAGTATTGCGTTTGTTTTGCAGCTATAAAAACTGAACATTTTTTATCCAAGACAATGAGTATTACCTAGTATTATAATATTTATAATATTATTATACCTAGTATTATAATATAATATTTCCTGTACTGAATGTAGTTGGAAAATAATATTTTGTTCTTCAAAAGAGTAAATCACATCCTACCTTAGGAAGAAATAGCTTTGAAATAAATATGCAAACAAATGCATTTGGGTTGGTCAAAGTTTTAGTGCAAAAAAACATTTTGCACTAGCATGAATATATCACTACAAATAGTCAAAACAACATATGACAAAATTTGTAGAGGTTTACACAATCCCTATGTGCAACAGTGCATGAGTTTATGAAAGAAGCTACCAACCAATTGCATTTTAAATAAATTTGTTGATGATTCTGTGGTTATTGATGCTTAAATTTATAATGATGTTGCCTGGTAAAGAAGTGGATACTTAATTCTGAATGTTTTCGTGCCTAAAGTATACATGATTTATTGAGGACGGTGATAATAAATCTTTTAATGACATTTGTAAACCATTTCCATTTTCAAGTAAAAACCTTTGAACGTTTTAAAAAAAAAAGGTATAAAAATAATACATTAGATAAGTTTCTTATTCTCTTTCCTTTGGATATTTTGTGCTTTAAACAGTTGATTGCACAAATAAAGTTTCTTTTTTAACCCATTTTTCTGCGATTTATTTTACTTTTTATTGCTTATTTAAACAAATATAACCAAAAAATGAGTAATCAACAGATAATCTAGGATAAGTATTTACGTCATTTTAATATGTCAAAATTGACATTTTTATTTTTTGTTGATTTATGAGTTGTTTAATTGGGGCATTCATGCTTAAAGCAATGTTGAAATTAATAATTTACTTTTTTGCGCGCTGTTGAATTTAAAGCAAACAAGTATTTTATTTATATTCTTGATTTGATATTATCTTCGAATCGTTTACCCAACATGAATACTTCTTTATCGATACTTTCATTTTTATTTATCAAAACTACAAATAAAAAGTGGTTTTAGCAAACGTGCGATAGATCATTTGCATATTTTTTGTACGATATATTAATTTGTACAGTAAATTAATTTTTTTAATACGAAATATAAGTTAAGAGCAACAAACTAATAGACATCAAAATAGAGTAGTATGTATATTAAAAATGTTATTTCATACCGAATTTTTACACGCATGTATAATAAATTATATATTTAATAAGCTAAATATAAAATTAAAGTAAATATTTAGAATTAACATAAATTGAACTAATTATATTAAAACAATCAAACAAACACATTTAAAAAATCGTTTAAATAAGTAAATTAATAATTTTTATTTATTAAAAACATTTATAAACAAATTTTTATATACATTTAATTATTTTTTATTATGACACTTATTGTTTCACTTAGTTTTATTATTCTATTTTTATAATTTTTTTCCAAGCAAAATATCCGACTTTACTAGTCTATATACTATATAGATTAGTGTAATATATACACTTTAGACCTACTTTTAAAACCGATTGACAGGAAAAGCTATATAGTATATTTTTGTCAAGAATAGCTATATTTTGACTAGAATAGCTATCTAGCGTATAGCTATTTTTGTCAAACAGTTCTCAAAATAGGCTTGGTTGCTTTAGCAACAACAATGATTAAAATTTAAATTTTTTTTATTATTTACTTATTATTAACATATGTAACTCCAATTCTACACAAACTCTAAACCTAATATTATAAACTGCTTTTTTTGTGGCAAAAAACATTCTCTTTTTATAAGTTTGGTTATCAAATACTATAATTTGCGAAACGCGCCCATTTTGTTTTCATTTCTTGAATTACAAAAAATTTGACGTCTATTTGCCATTTTTTAGTATTTAAAAAAAATAATTAACTCCTTAAAAACCAACAGCACTGATAATTTGTAAACCAGTCAAAAAATAAATAAACTGTGCGAAGAAGAATACTACCCAACTGCACTTTTAGAAATAAGATTTAATTCTGCACAGATATGACTTATCATTAAAAAGAACTGATATGAATATTAATTAGCTTAATTTAACAGAAGAACCTGCCAATTAAACGATTTGATATTTATAAATTTTCTCCCTAATTAAACTTTGCAATTGCTAAGCAATTGAACTTTTGTTTAAAAATAAATGTAATCGAAAATATTTTTTGTTAAATATTTAAATAACGCTTGAATGATTTTGTTAATTGCAAATAATTTTCCTCTTTTACCAAGAAATGTGAGATCATTTAGTTCTTTAGATTTACATCTTTAACAAAAAAAAAAAAAAAAAACAACCCTGTTACCATTTTTTTCAGAAAAATAGTTTCAATAACTAAAAAAAATGAAGTAAATACTAAAGGTAAAGGTATAAAAAAAAATAATAATAATAAATAAATACCAAAATAACTGAAGACTGAAAACTTAACAGAAGGAGTCAAATCATTCTTTTAAGATATTTTTTTATAGCACGATAAATTTTTAACAGCTTATGTAATTCGGCTTTAAAGTAACATTAGCCTTGACACTTGATGATGTATTTAAAACAAGCCCTTGAGGCATAAACAACACCGAGGCAGTGCGCTAATCGCTATTTATTTAAAGATGAAAGTTTGAGCCTATTGAAAACAAAAATTATTAAATAAGTTGTCAACTAGGAGAAA